GGCGAGGATGATTGCAACGGACTTTGAGACAGATAGAAGTATAACACACGACGACAACAAAAAGTACGGTAAAATAAAATGCAAAAACGATTATTGCATAATAGGCGAAGAAAAAAGTAAGGGGCACTATTCCTGATGATATCGAGTTCATGACGGTGGGCACCAACCAAATGACTGTTATAATCACTCCATAAACCCATTTCTTTATGAAACGATGCTTGAAAGGGCGAAATGTAGCGTGTACTCGTTCTAATGAAATGATAGCAAGGTTAAGAAAGGAAACTTGATAAACTTGAAAACCTAAAACAGTTTCTAGCATACGTAACCAAGTGATAAAAGATCTATGGTACTCCCACAGATCACAAATGCTTCCGCACCATTCAATCATCAGGGGCCCGTGCACCAACCCGACCAGTAGATCGACCATGGTCTGATGGATGATCAAGTATTTACTCCGGCGCTGTGGCTGGCGCTGCTTCACAAATGCAATGATGATTATGGCATTGAGGATGACAATTGTCAGACATTCAGTGCCTAATAAAGCTAACCACGGAATACATTGTAATGGAGGAGGCGGTGGATAATGGATTGTGTCATTATAGGTACTATTGTTGGTGCTGATAGACATCGAGTTACACTGGAACCTGTGGGAGCCAACCGAACGACCTGAACAGGAAAGAAACGTCTATAATGTAAAAGTATAGACCAAAGTTCTTGACATCATGCTAGTTACGTTATATGTGTCGGTACCCGAGTTAAACCGAACGTTCGTAATCTGCCTGGTTAACTGCAGGGGTTTTGGGCGCTCGATTAAAAGAGAGTGCGCTCGTTTTCTTGGTTCTGACTCCCAACGCCCCTAAGCGCAACAAAACAAGCGGCTGCGCGAGCAAATAGTTTGGTGCACTTTTCCATCCAAAGGACTACTATTCAGTGTAATTTTTAAAAGAAAAGGCGATCTCACAAACAAAATTATTAGGAAGCGTCTGTTCGAAATGAAGATTAATTAAGATTATTGTTTTTTTAGAGGGCACGGTAACGAATCCTGCAATCTGATTGGTTCTTTACCCGGTCAGTATTTTTCTATCTCTGCCCACGGGCCACGGTAACACTTTCGTAAGTCGCCGAGTACATCCAACTTTCGTTGTCATTTTTCATAAATACATCTCGTTTTCCGGCTGGGCAGTATTTTTAAACAAACACGTCGGTCACTACCTCAAGCCGATAAATAACTTATGAATCCTCTCTTTCCTCTCTCTCAAATCACTTTGGTTGACAGAAAAATATTGGTTTCAGAATGAATTCGTATAAACAATAGTGTCATTACGTTGGTTGACAAGCGGCCTAAAAACCGTCTGCAATTAATTTTAATCGTTCACAAAAAGTACCCAGAAAGTTAAAACGTGAGGTATTTGGTTACAGTTAAACTGAACGATGGAACTTTCATTCATTTAATATCTGAATTTTCTCGAGCAATTTGTTCGTAGTGAAAGAGCGAGCGAAGTTTTAATTTAAGTTTTATGACAAATATACGCTCCCGGTGAGTCTTTCTAGTTCCGTTCGATTTGGACATTTGTACCGTAAATTGCACACGAGAAACTGAAGGACTGATGTTTTGAGAAAAGGTCGCATTGAATTCCCTTGTGTCTCGTTGGAGTGTGCCGTTCGAATTTAGTTTTTGTGAAGGAAAGACCAGATTTACACACGCCATTGCAGCAAACAAACGAGCAAACTCTCACAACTTCAGAATAAAAAATTGAATTTACTCACAATTACTTTCCTCGCCGTTTACTTAATGAACAGAGGTAAATCTTCGTACATGAATGAATCGTCGATGAGAGTGAATAATACTTTCCGTTAGATCATTGACTGATTTTGAAGAAAACATTGTCGTGACAGTCCTTGCCAAACTAGTTCCGTTGTTTTTCAAATGTTCTTACGCATTTTTTTTCTTACGCGCTCTCTAATTGACAGGTGTCAGATTGTGACAGATACTTGTAAAAATAATGTTTCAAAGTTTGTTTGGAAGCCTTTTAAATCACCTTTATCGCTACGGAAATGAAAATGTTTCGCTGAGGCATCTCTCTTTAATTTGCATCACCTCTATTTTAACTACCATTTACTCGCTCAAAAATTGTTCAGTTTATGGAAGATCTTGCCGTATTTACAGCCCTAAATCATTCGGGTTCTTTCGGAAAGAATTTCGTCAAGTTTAAAAACAATAAATATGTTATTTACCGGCTAAGGGTCGGTCCGTATGGTGAAAACTGTGACCTCGGTCTTGAAAACGCTGCCCTCGGCCTACGGCCTCGGGCAGTATTTTCAAGACCTCGGTCACAGTTTTTCACCATACGGACCTCCCAGCCGGCAAATAACATATATGTATTTGCGCGCTGAAATTGATTTTCCAGAAAAAACGAAGATACGAGAACTGAAAAAAAAACATCACAACATCACATCGCAGATATCCTCAATTAAGAAAAAAAAACTGATGCCAACTACAACTGTCTGTAGTGGAAAGAAAGTTCTTTGTTTTGTGTATAGGATCGAAATACATGCACTTGCCACACAAACCCTAGCGAGGTGCAGGCCTCAGTGCAAACGACGCAAATTCGTGTCAAGTGATGACATTACCTAAAAAGGAGATCAAATATTCGTGCTACTTACGTTTAAAAGATGATGTAAATTAAGAATGCCATGAAGTTGTGTGGTTAAATAGAAATCTTAAAATTGAGACATATTTTTCTCCTCTGATAGATTTGAGATCATCTCGAGGGTAACCGAAATGCACAGTTTTGTTTATATTTCAAAACTTAACAGAGTATGGTTCAATTAATAATTGGTCTCTTTGACCAATAAAAGTCTTCTAAATGATGAGGTTTTTAGCTTTAATAAGTCAGCTAATTTGACATCTGTTAGTTACATGCCCACTGCAGGATACCCTGGAAGCAAAAATACAAATAAAAAAAAATAAAAAACCACCGCTGTTGTAATAAGTGTCTTCACTATTCATCGATGTCCGCTAAGAATAATTGTGTAGTCGTACGGGTGACATCAAAGGAGTTAAAAGTTTCCACCACATTATCTTTGCAAACAAAACAGAACAAAGTAATACCTTTCGGGTTATAATCGTTTCCTCCTCTTTTAAACATCATTGCCGTCCTCAACTTTTCTGGTCATAAAACAGGCACAGGAGTAAAAACATGAAATAATTGACCAATACTAAATAACTTTCTTTTCATTTTCAGCTTTCTTTTCATTTTCAGCTTTTTTTTCATTTTCTTTTCATTTTCGTTCTAAATGCAGCATCTGGCTCAAAAAATGTAATTTGTGTTTTTCTCCCTTTTTTCCCTTTAATTTGTGACAAAATTTAAGGAGCCGAAGGAAACAAGGACAACCAATCTAAATTATTAACAATCTGTCGTAAAGCGCTTTAAGAAAGCAATCCCTTTTTTAGTAGATTTCAAGCTAAATCTATTCAAACACTATTGATTAGAAAAAAATGCACTCGACGCAAGCTGTGAAACTTCTTCAAGAGTTAAAATCCGAACAATAGATACAAAAAGCAAATGCTTAGAATTGTTTCAATCATGTGCCAGGCCCTGACACCGCGTAAAACTTTTTCACCGTTGAATAGATTCTTTTTTAAAAGGAGAATCTTTTTTCCCTTTATTTGGCAGTTATTCAAGCACTGTAGGTGGGAAGAACTAAGAGATGACGATCCGTTCAGAGATTGGTTTCCTTAGAAAGGTGTCGTTATTTTGCTTTTTTTTTTTTTTTTAAGGCGTGGGCACGCACAAGTCAAGCGCGAAGAAAGCGCCAGGGGCAAGACAAGCGCAAGAGGAAAAGCTCCTCGTCTTTCACGTCTCACTCCTGGTCCTTTTCTGTATCCACCTAAAAAGCGCAAAAATGACCCCTGTACCACCGGCTGTTGAGATCCAATAGATTCTTTTAGAGTTAGTTAGTAAAATCCTCTACTTGCTCTGGTTTCTGTATTCTCCTAAAATCCGACAATGAAAAAAGGACGCTTGTAGCCCCATCTTCTGAGATCATGTCCGTAGTTACACAAGAATTAATAGAGTTAGTTAGAAATATCCTTTACTTGTTTGATTTCTAAACGGATGTACATGCGGTGAAAATAATAACAGATAATAACAACAATTCCACAAACTGACATTTTAATAGGTAATCGATTTTACCAAGCTAAAATTTCGCATATATATTTCTTTCTGGAACAATGTAAAATTTCAACGTTGTGTTCCACATCCCAAAAACTGCTTCTGGTTTACTTTCAGTCGAAAAAATCGTCTATTGCAAACAGAGCCATACAACTCAGGTTATATGCTTCTGTATTACGTCAATGCAATTTTAAACAGGCAACGATCTCTTTTTATGTCTTCTTTTAACCACCTTAACTCATCAACTGACATCACATAATCTATATATTTATAAAAGTAGTAGTTAGTTCATATGACACGCAATGGATCATAACGTCATATTTGTAAATAGAATAAGTGAGATGGTAAGTTTTGAGCTCGGTAAAGAAACAGAGAAAGACGGAAAACATCTTTCTCTATTTCTTTTTCTTTTTCTTTCTCGTTCTTTTATACTATCGTCTACCACTGACATACCTCTAATAATCGAGTTTAAAAAGAAGTTTAAAGATATTTAAAGATTTTGAAGTGGGATATCGATTGTATTTAAAGGGTTTGAAGCACTGCGGAAAATTATTTCTGTTATGGCTGTTGTTACCTCGAGCATCCGTATGGCGTCGATTATAGGATTTATAAGTGAGTTGGAAGCCACAAATGTTGTTCTTACCATTAGAACATGAAAAAATGACTCGTGGAAAAAGCTGTAGGAAAGTTCGGAATAAGAAGCCTCAAAACCCCAGATGATAGGAATGATGATGGGCTAACTCCGCCCACGCTCCTTTAATAGGGAACTTAAGCAAAGGAAGTTTTCGGGGCGACGGCGACTGGAGTTGCAGAGGGAAGCTGGGACCGATGTAGCCGTCGCCTCCCGCCAAATTCAACTGTTTAAGCGGCAAGTTCATTCAGACGGCGACGGAGTGGCTTTCCAAAGAAAAAAATGACTTCTTTTAAAGAAACGAGAGAATTAACACTGCTGTGTTATGCTGAAAATTTACTTTCCGATGATGAATTTCTCGCTTTATGGGAAAACAATCAGTCAAGCAACCCAGATTTTCCTTGGGACAGTTATGGTCCGTTCGACCTCGAAAACATAGATGAAGCCGAATGCAAAGCAGAATTTCGCGTAGAGAAAAGAGATCTTCCTACGCTAAGAGAAGTACTCGGGATTCCACCCACTTTCAAATGCCCACAGAGGACTATATGCGATGGAATGGAAGGACTGTGTATGCTACTAAAACAGTTAGCTTATCCTTGTCGTTACAGCGATATGATCGCGCGTTTTGGAAGACCTGTTCCTGAACTGTGCATGATCACGTACCGAGTCATGGATTTTATCTATGATGCACATGGCCACCGAATCACTCAGTGGAATGACACTATACTGAATCCCAGATTGCTTGAACAATATGCCACTGTCATCACAGAAAAAGGAGCAGCTCTAGACAACTGTTTTGGCTTTGTTGATGGTACCGTACGACCGATCTCCAAACCAGGAGATATGCAGAGAATCGTTTACAATGGGCACAAGAAAGTACATGCTCTCAAGTTTCAGTCGGTTGCCATACCTAATGGGCTCATTGCCAATATATGTGGCCCTGTGGGTAAGTGCCATTGAACAATATTACTTTAATACTGTTTGCAAAAATAGGGGTAGCATTGATTTGAATAACCTGATGCAGTTTTTAAAGGACATGGCTAAAATTTAATGAAAAGTCATTTGCCTATATATGGCAGTATATAAAAAGTACTGCTTGATCTTAGAAGTTTGGAGCAAATGTAAGAACAAAAGATCACTACTATCACTTCTGTTGCTGTATATTAAAATTAGGAAGCTATACGTTGAGCTATATAGTAAGTACCTTAAGTTTATTACTTTGTTTTTCTTTCTTTAGAGGGTAGGAGGCATGATGCAGGGATGTTGCATGATTCTGGGCTACTTCACAACCTGGAAGCCTATGCCTACTCAGCAACAGGGCTACCGATGTGTTTGTATGGCGACCCTGCTTACCCCCTAAGAGTCCATCTTCAGGGGCCATTCCAGAACCCCCACCTTACTCCCTTGATGGAAGCATACAACAGTTCAATGAGTTCAGTAAGGGTGTCTGTAGAGTGGTTATTTGGAGATATCATAGAATATTTCAAGTTCATGGATTTTAAAAAGAATCTCAAGATAGGAATGAGCAGCATTGGAAAGATGTACATTGTTTGTGCACTTCTGCAAAATGCTTTGAGTTGCTTGTATGGCAACAATACTGCAACGTTTTTTGACCTTGAGCCTCCCATCCTGCAAGACTATTTTGCATAGCTGATGTGTTGAAGAAAAGAGAACTTTATCTTCTTATGAAATTTTATAATTTGAAACAGTTATGGTATGCAATAACTTGGACATTACCTTTTGAAATCTGAGGAGCAGCCCCTCCCAATCAGCTGATTTAAAAAAAATGCATATAAACCTATCATGGTCAAGGGTTGTTGGGTGTAGCAGAGTTTGTGAGGCACAAAATTTCAGACACTTGTTATAAACATATATTCAACATGTACAGTCCAACAATTTTAACCAATAAATTAACAACAAAATGTTTAAGCCTTATTTGTCTTTTTTCGTACCAGCTTCTGCATGAATGAGAAGCCACCAAAGTTTCCAAGAGGCATTTATCATAATAAGCAAATTCAAATGATTATAACATGAAAATGTAAACATTTCTTTCATAAATGCCATTGTCCTATGAAAGTTAATGAACATAAATTCAAATCTCTCTCTGTAAAGTGCCATTCAAAAAGACACCATTGGCTAACAACAACAAATTAAGTTACAGTAATTAACAGTTAATTCCTCTCATTTTTTCCATGAGGGTGAGCAATGCTTGATTCATCTGCTGTTGTTGCTGTAATATCAACAGTGTTTGGCTTTGTTGATCTTTCCTTAACTGTAGCTCTTCCTCTCTCAGAGAATGTTCTAACTTTGCTTTTCCTCTGAGAAATTCTACTGCATCACTGCCACTTCTCCTTTTTTCTTTTTGGCTCCTTCCTCTCCATCCTCTCCACCTCTTTTGCTGGTTTTTCCAAACCATTCCATAGCCTTAATCCATATTTCTTCTGCTGCCTTTTTATCAGCTTCAGCTTTCTTCTTTCCTTCTTTATCACTGTCAATAGCAGCATCTTCTTTTCCAATAAGATCTTCAATGATCTCATCAAGTTCTCCAACCTCAGCATCTATTCCAGTTGCTTGGATTTCTTCTGACATCCTTCTTTTATACTTTGTGCGTAACAGTGTCCAATGATCGTGACATGACCGTTTTGCAACTTTAAACTTTGGGTAATCCATTGCATTTAAATTACCAGCAATAGAATCCCATAATTGACCCCTTTCTGGAGTGCCCTTTTTGTACTGAAAAAGATCACTGATTGTCATTTCACCCAGAAGAGCCTTGTCATGCTGCTTTGTCCATTCCATCACTGTTCTAGGTAACATTAAGACAAAAAAAGATTGTTTTGTTTATTTGTGATTGATAGCTGCACATGCAACAGAGAACAGAAACAGGCTAATTTAAAATTCTGGTGCAATTGTCTGGTTGTCCATGAAACATACAAATTTTACCTTACAACAATTATTGTAAAAGTTCTAACACTAGACATGAAAAGCTATTTTTCAGTTGAACGAGGACAAGAATAAACCCATAGAAACCATTTATGGCTAGATCATTTGCATATTTTTGTGTCGTAAGAATTAAAATTCAGCATTCCTGCATGCGTAATTAGCAATGAATTTTAGAAACTACAGCATCTCAGAATTTCGTTAGATTGAAAAATCTTTCAAACTTCTGAATGGAGAAAGTTCCAACAGATGCAGTAATATCGAATTCTTAATTCTTAATTTGACACAAATTCGCTGTTTATTACGCATGCATGAATACTGAATTTCGAAATCTGAATAACGAAAGCTAGAAAGTTTATACAAATAATCGATCCATTCATGGAGTCTTGGGCTGGTTCGACCGTAAAAAAAAAACATTTGTCATAAAAAGACAATTCAATATCCAGCTGTGTACTTTGGAAAGCTCCCTCAAATCATAAATGTCCGTTTAAAGAAAAGTTCAGTTTATTGGAGGCACTGATTTCTCAAGAAAATATAACTCGCTTTCCAAAGGTTTTTAAAAATGAACTTTTCACTGAATTGCATTAAAATAACATTCTCGTGAAATTAGCAAGACCAAGCAGTTGTAACATGTTTACATATTTATACTTATAGCTAAACCTTTCAGTATTAGTAGAGAAGTGAACTATCGCAATTCGCTGTAAACTACTGTTTTCCCGCTGAAAATAAATAGAAATGGTCAAAGAAATGAGTTCAAAGTACACCCTGGCTGAATATTTTTGTACAAATCTACAGACAGATTCAATTGTTATTCTCACTTACGATTTTGTGCTTGTTGAGTTGGCCATTATATGCGTTTAGCTAGAAAGAAGAGTAACTCACAAGTTAGGACGAATTTAAGGCAAAAAAGAACGGTTAAATCGAGCTAAAAAGTCACCTGTATATTAACAATGAAATCAAAAGTAAGATTTCGAAAAATAGCATTTGTTAGAGGTCACAAAAATGACCAAAACAGAAAACTAACACTCACGTTTTCACCACAACGGCAAACACCCGCTCTTCACGTCGTCGACGTCCCTGCGACGGCTGGGAAGTTGGCTAAATCATGCGCAGTAATGCACGGGTCATGACTTAACTTCCGGTCTAAGTCGCCGTCGCCCCCAAAACGTCCATTGCTTAAGTTCCCTAATAGTAGTGATGGCGGCTTACTTCCCGACGCCCATCTACACCTCGTCAGAAAAAAAGATCTATCTTTTATACATCTTCTTTCTGCCTGCACCGCTCTTCGGAAAAAAAAAAGTATAAAAGAAAGAGTAATGGCTGATGTTCTTAACGGAATACTGAAGTTGCCTGTGTTCGTATCGACAAGTGATATGATGGATGACGACTCTTTTACCAGCATGAATTTGAATTTTCATAAATCAATTACGAAGCGATTTTGAATAAGGTCACTATTTTGAATTTCATTGAACTCAATGAAATTCAAATATTTCCTTTTTCTTCGACATGAATCTGCAAGGAACTCAGAGTTTTTGAGAAAATGTTAGTAAAAAAGAACGGTGATCTGGCAAATCATCAGCAACATGAAAAAGTAAAAATGTTCGAACTCAGCGTCAACTATGTTATTTCAAAGCTGAAACCAAGAGAGAAAACATACCTTACCAATGAGATTGATTCAAACATAGTATATAATGCTAACAACCATGGATTATATACTCCATAGAACAGAAAATATATTTTAGGGACACATAGGATTAAACTATAAATCACGCGAAAAAGTTTCCCTTTATCCGTTTATGAGTAAATTCAGATGCTTTCGCTATGAAGAAGCCCTCCCTATGGCGAGGAAAAAAGGATCCTAAGGCTGAATATATATTACCCACCAAAGAAAGAATTTATCAAGTTCTTGCAACTCTCTCGCTGCTACATCCACTGATATAGAAGTTCTTAGCCATATCAGACTTATCCTAACTAAAACAAAACACGTCACAAACTGATCAAATTTTGCAGTCTAAGAATACCAACAATCGAGCTATAACAAAAAAGGCCATATCTTACTTACCCTTATAACATCACGCGGAGAATATCAGAGACGGAGGATCCTATTAGAGGTATCCATTAATACAAACAACAATCATGGGAGACTTAAGCGTTGCAACGTGTGAGTGGAATTATTAGCCCAAAAGCCGCAAATTTATCATCTAAGAAAATCATTTTTTTAGTATTTATTTTGAATAACAGAGTAAATAAGGATAAATGCCAAATCGTCTGCTAAATGAGAAATCCTAAAATTGAGACAACTCCATCTTCATTGGCATCGACGTGGAGAAACAGCGAAACTAACATACTATTTATCTTTTGATGCGCACCAAAGTATGATGTATTAAGTAATTGAGCTCTTTGACAAATAAAAGGTTTTTCGGTCGTTGTATTTTCTTGCTTTTATTTCTCAGCTGTTTGCCATCTTATAATGAAGCACAATATTTGTCTTTTCTTTTTGTGATAAAACGTACAAAAGGGGCATGCTCAGTCCGAACTGTGAATTACACATCGAAAACAAGATACCCTGACAGCCAGTGTACACCGAAAAAGACGAACAGGCATTGCTGCTAAGCGTCATTTCGTTGTTAACCGTTTTCCGATAGAACAAATGTGGATTTATACGAGTGGCATTCGAATTCCATTACCTCCGCAAACAAAACTTAATCTAAGTAACTGCTTTCAGATTGTAATTGTTATTGCTATCCCTTCTTTTAAGCATTTATAAGTCTTAATCTATTCCTAAACTATACCTATGTAGCTCCGTATAATCTGAGGAGATCAGCGTATTTCGATCCTCAGTAAGAAAATCAATACATTTTTTTCCTTCAGACAGGCAATTGCCGTTCAGATAACTCGTATTTCTAAACCGCCACGACAGCGGGCATCAAGGATTTGAGGATTCCAGTTTCCCAGTTGAAGTACCGTACAGTACATCTGAAGTAAAAGGCTGCTTCTGCAGTGCTCTTCTCCTGCTCCGTTGACTCGGCAAAGAAGCCAGTAAGTACGAACAGTCGAATATCCACTTCGCAGTCTTAAGTTCAGGCTGAAGCTTCATTTTTCGCAATAATTTTAATCAGAAAATGTAAATAAAATGTTAAAAATGGCTAAGCGACTCGCCGAATGTCAACAGCCTTTTCTTGTTGCTTATGTTTTATTTCATTTCATTACCTTCATTTCTAAACGTTTTTATAAGCTGAATTTCAGTCATCTGGGATAGTAAACACATCCCGTTGTTTAATAAAAAATGTTTACACAAAACAAAAGGCAAGCAGTTTATGTATACCAATATAATGGTTCTACATTAAGTAATTAGATTCATCCTCTGAAGACTGTATAATTATCTTTCTCTTCTAAGTCTCCTTTTTAATTTCTTTAAGTTGTCAAGAAAAAAATGATGGAAATATATTTCGACTTCTGCCGACCGAGTTTGGGCAAAAATTTAGAATATGTCAGAAAATCATCCTGTTCTTCTGAGCTGAAGGATATGCTTGATCATTTCAACTCTAACTTTGTTATATTCAGATCGTATCAAAAAAGTGTTAAGTGTGAAGTGAACATAAATATCTCTTACTGTTGCGCTAATTCCCTTCTCTCTCTGGAAAGGAAAGAATATGTAAAATACCTTTGTGTCCTTTTCAATTCAAAATGATCTCGGACTCGACACATTG